CTGTGATTTACATGGGAAATATTTATTCCCACACAGAGGCTGGAAATGTAACAGCTTTTTAAAGGCAAGCCTATAAGCTGAAACACAATTCTCCAGCCAATTATAAAGTTCAGAGAGCCAGAGTATAGTTCATCTATATCCTGTGGTGTGTGGATCTGCCATGACTCCTTGACAGGTGCCAGAGCCTTTCAGTGAAACTGGGGCATGCTCATGCATCATAGCTGAATCCACCATTGTTTTCTGTTTGGGAAGATAGCAGTAAGGAGAAACTTTTCATGCAATAGTATTTAATATGATCATGCTCCAATGAAGGACAAAACAAAGATAATGATTTAACAGGACTTTCCTTTAGTCATGATTGTGAGAAACACATGCTTCCTTGGCTAATTGTATCCTATGTGAGTCCTGATATGCCATAGATACAGGTCAACTGTAACCAAAAAATATCACTTGTGACTTAAAATGCAGTCGGAGAATGTAGAAGATAATGTGATTTGAAAACACAACTATTTCAACATCAGTGGTTATCAAATGAGCGATGGATTTCTGTATATAGTACGTTAGCTGAAGTACTACACCCTGAAAACAAATACAGACTTTATAATTCTATTTTAGGGATATTGTGGAGTCATTGACTAGCCATTGACTTTCGTGGTTTATGGTGATCCTCAAAACTTGTTGACCTCAAGTCAACTATCCTCCTTGCTTCTTACCCCAATCCTTTCCCTTCAGTGTCTCTTCTCCCTTACTTTCTATTTAGGTAACTCTTATTTACCAATCCCTGTGATTTTTATTTAAGTCAAACCAAAACAGTCATGGCATTAACATGATGTTTGACAACCATCACGTTATTCACTCTGCTTATATGCTATATCCTTTTTCTCTCAACCTTTTGTCTGGCTTGTCTATTTACGTTGCAAGCTCTTCAGGGCAGGGATTGTCTCTTATTCTGGATCCCGCTCTTGATTGGTTTCCAGGGACAATTGGAGTACATTATTCCTTACATATCCCTACTATCGTACAGCTGTCTCTTATTCCCTCTCTTTTAGCTTTGTGCCCTCTGCCATGGTGTCTTACTATGGCTGAAAAAATATCTCTGTTGTCCTCTGGCATCTTTCCGCGCTTTCAAATTAACTTCTTAAAACCCATCTCTTAAAGCAATCCTCTCCCATTTTCTAATGACCGCCACTCTCTCCCCTTTTCCTGACTTGGTATCCTACGTTGGTTTAATCTGTTTTAGATTGAGGTCTTGAGCAAGTGACATGTCTTATCAATGTTTGGTAAAGTGCTGTGTAAATTAATGGTGCTGTATAACTATGATATATGGTCAGGGAAAGCACAAACACAATCATGTTGCAAAGGTACAATTTAATAGTGCTTTTTCTAGAGGAGTTCTAAATTTATTTCACACTAACAGCCTCACTGTATTGTATAAATTGGTGCACGAGAGATCCATTCATTTAACATCTCGGACAGTAATTCAGTTTGGTCCTGAGTACATTAGTAAATATGTTGAAATAATTTTATGTATTGGTTGAGTTTGATCTCTACCTAAGAGTTGTATAAAATATTCACAGGGTGATTTCCAAAGAAATTTTATGAGGTTTCAGATCATAAATTTCTATCTCAAGTAGAATTCAAAGTATATTCTGCAAATGAAGGAGAAATGTATAGCCTGAAGTATCAGATTTATTCTTAATATGTAAAGTGCAGGCTTTGTGAACTGATAGCGGTCCCTGCATCAGCCTGATTGAGATTTGGCTGAGGAACACTGTAAGGTTCTAAAACCTGCAGGTCAGCTGTCACAAGTGTGGTGGAAAGCTATTCTCAAAAATACATGGATGTCTGTGTACAAAACATAGTGCTACCACAATTTTTATAGTTCATTATGGATAATGTCCTATCTTCCAATTCCAATTTTAGATTCTGCCTCAGAGGAAATATGGTCTAGTTATGGTAGTCAGGAGACTTGGGTTATATTCTTCAATCTGTCACTAGCTTGCTACATAACCTTGGAAAGTCACTTTATTTATCTATAACTTAGTTTCCGCATATATATAAAATGGGAATATTTCCTACCTTTGGAAAGTACTTTGAGATCTTCAGCTAAAAGGTACTGTGTATATATATGCTGGGTGCTACAGTCTAACATTTTGTATACTTTTACTCTATTTCTCCTAGTCAAAATAAGCAGAAGCTAAAAATATGTAAACTCCGTGGTTCTGTTTGCTACTGCTTGCAAGTATAATTGATAGATGTGCTGGGAATCATGCTATGACAATGTGCTATCTTTTCATGAATAAGAAAGGGAATATAAGTACTTACCAGCTGGAAAAAGAAATGCAGCTAGTTACAAAATGACCACTCTGGGACTGTGCTTGTTTAGTTCTGCCAAATTTTAAGGCCCAGCCCCAAAAAGGCATGCTGGGGGAAAAGTTTCTAATGCTGTAGAGAGAGTTAATAGAAACTAGAAAGGTACTAAAGAAGTGCCTCTGGGGTGTGTTATGAGTCGTAACTGTCACCTAAAGATAATAGCATGCAAAGAGAAACTGCTATGATCTTAAGTGTGTCTTTTTAGTTCTCTGGTTTGGAGATCTGTCTGTCAAGGCACTTGTGTGGTGATAGAGCTGTGTAAGTACCTAGATAGATACTCACACTTGAAACTAAAGAGTGATACTTAAATTCATAATAACTTCTCTTTAAGCTGTACTAAATAATTGTGATGCTATTTAAAGTATAATCTTTGATAACAAAGTCAGTCTTTCTACATGTGGTTGAAGTATTTGTATGGCCTTCCTGGCGAGGACTTTTATGTATATTTAGGGGTGTTCACAGATTCTTAGACCCAGCTTCTTAAGTAGCTTCTTATTTGGAGTGTCTCAGTTGCAGACGGTAAGAAGAATCTTAACTTCTGAAGTAGTGAGCACCTGCAGTTTCTATTGACTTCAGTTGGAGGGTGCTCAGCACCTCTAGAAATCAGGCACCCAGAATTACAGACTGTGACTTTTGAAAATGTAGACGTTAACTAATGCAGTTACACAAGCTTTGTTTTATTCTGTTTATTAAAGCAAGGGCCAAGTTCTGCTTTTCAGTATGTGTGTATTACTCCCCGGAGCCCACGTGCAACAGAGTGTAGTATTTGGTCAGTCATCTCCATTTTTTTAAGAGTGATCCTTAAGAATTCTTGTGGTGAAAATCTTGAACCCTACCCTCTTCAGACTGACCTTAGTAGGGCTATGTAAAAAAGAAATGAGAAGCCAGATGTAAGAAACCAGTGTTTTATATTCCTTCTGTAGAAGGAGAATAGTGTTTCCCCAATGTTCTCTTTTTGTGTTTCAGATCAAAATGTGTCTTCTGATAGCCTGCCTTGCCTTCATCAGTTCCAGCGAGCACTTGAATCCTGCCCTCACTAATATCTGTGAACTCCAGAAGAATCTACGTAATAAGAGCAGTTAAGTTAGCTTGTTTTTAATACAACTCTCTGGTAATGCTTTTAATGTTTGGACATTTAAAAATATTTTGGTGCCAATCCTGCAAAAACTTGCACAGTTATCAGCAAGTACTTTTAATAAACTTAAGTTTGAAGCCTTCATCCTGCAAACACATATATGCAGGCAGTTCTTGATGCTGGTGTATAGTCCCACTGACTTCATTGGGACTCTGTACTGGTTCAAGGGTCTGCTCACCTGGATCCATTTACAGAATTGGGCCCTTATTATCTTTAGTTAAAATCCAATGTGAATGTATTGTTTTCCTTTTTTTGAGTTTTGTTTGTCCACCAACCAAGTGGTTTAAAACTTGGTACAGTGAATGGCTTTAAAAGGGAAGTAGATCAGTTGTTGGGATGTCTGTAGCAGTAAAAGAATATGCAAATTTGTATGTGTTTAGTCAAAACAAGCTATGGTTGAACATCCATGGAATACAAGTTTTGAAAATAAGGTTGAATACATTTTCTCCAGTGGACAAACATCAAGACATACTGGCTATGCATCTTTACTTGGTTCTTTTTTAAAAAAAAAAAAATACTTATTCATAGCTGGCAAAACCCAGGATGTTGTAGGAAAGGGTACTGGCAATGCAGTAGATGGCACTGTTCCCTCATGTCTGAATCAGTGTCCCAGCATGATGCTAGAAGGCACTGTGTGTTGCTGGAGCTTTTACACGAGTGACTTTAAATTGAGCTCTCGATCATTCAGGATGGCATGGTATTTTTGCATGGCTGGTCAGATTGACTCAGTAACTTCCCCCCGCCTGCCTAAAATTCCTCTGAAGTTTCAAATGATCACAGTATTTTTCCCTTTCTGCCCCATTTCAGAAGTACTGCTATGCACCCAGTCCTGCATGACTCCATCCAAATGGCTTCATTTCAGAGGTTGGCAAGATTTGTGGTATAACACATTTTGTGCTTTGGGATGTTTGGATGAAGAGTTTTGTGTGGATGTCAGTTATCGTCCTTGCTGTTTAAGGAATATTGTGCTAAATGCACATTCCCAGATTGTTTCTTTCAAATGATGTTAGTTAAAATGAAACTACTTTTAATAATGGTGCTCAGTAAATGATCCATGTTCAGATGTATCATTCTGCTAATCTATTAAATTTAATAGCAAAAATGATTTAATCTCATTACTTTTTTTCCTAGATACCCTAGAAGAAATGCTTTTATAAAGCTACAAATCCATTTCTTTGATTGGACAGAAGTAATTTCTGAAGTGACCCATAATGCCCACAAGTAATAAGTGAAGGCATGAGGCATTCTCCAAAACATAAAATTTCATAAAATTTTTCCCAAAATGGGAGATCTGTCTCTTCTCCAGCAGCTGCATAGGGATGTGCTGGTAGGCACTCCTTTAACAAAGAACAGCCAGGATTATGCTTCTTTCCTCAATCCGCATGTTTCACCACAAGATTCATCCGCAAGGGTTAATGAGTCACATCATCAAATATGCCCAGAATCTCCTAACTGGGGCGCTTGGAGCCATCAGGACTCTGCTGTTTCAGATGCTCTTGCCCTTGTGACAGATGTTAAATCTGATAGCTTTGCAAACACGAGCTCTTCAATGTTCTGTTCACGGGAAATGATACTGCTACAGTTAACATTGATCAAGATGATGATTGCCAAAGTACAGTCCCAGGAAACTGAATTCAGCATAAGACAGAAGTACCTTGATATAATAACAATTCTTCTGAAAGAGACACAAATTGATTCAAAATTAGTAAGCTTTTATAAGTATTATCAAAACTTTTCAAAACAAAGTAAAAAGTGAGTGTAACTTACAGATTTTTTTTTTTTACATGTCTGCAGATTTGTCTATGCAATAGTTCTGATAAACTGTTGTCTCACATGGCTTCAAAAAGTATAGCCTCCCTTATATATTTCCAACTAAAGAAAGAGGTGAGTGTGTCAGGTTCCTGGGTGGACTTTGAATTTGTATGTAAGCTATCAAAGCAAACATGAGTACTTGGTGGATACATTCCTTCCAGTTTTCCTTAGTTGTTCCATCTAACTATCGCTGACCTTCTACAATAGTTAAATGACACAGAGCAGTCACTGAAAATTTTACAGTGTAACAGTTACATTTTCTCTGTAGTGCAAAGCCTGCCTAAACAGGCGCAGTGCCTATTGATGGGAGGAGGTGCTGGAATCCTTCCATGCCCATCAGACTATAGAGTAATAACAGAGCGTCTCCCTTCCTGCATCTGCAGCCTCAAATCTGTAACACCTGTGTCTACCATGTTCCATCCTTCCAAAAGGAATTTTAGACAATGGATCTGTGTACTTGCTAGCATGACTGCTTTGCAGCATGCCATGGGCACATCCCTCAGTGGCCTCCTGCTTCAAAATCTTGCTGTTTCTCAACTCTGGGCACACTGTCTTTTTTCAGAGCCATTTTCAGAAACAGAATGTAAAAGTAGTACGAGGTAGCGTTGTGGGAGAGGGCCACACTGAGGAGGTATTGGGTGAGGAGTGATTTGGTGGAGGAAAGGGAAGATGCTTGTTAAATGTTTCCAGAGACTATTTCAAATGTGGTAGGAGGGGCATGAAAGGGTATGTTTACACTGCAACTGGGAGAGAGCTAGCGGGACTTGAGCTAGTGTGCTAAAAATAGCAATTGTGGATGTTCCGCCTCTGGTGCGAGCTTGGGCTCTCAAGCCCACCCAGCCCCCTAGGGTTGAGAACCTGAGCTTCTGCCCGAACCGGAACATCCACAGTTCCAATTTTTAGAGCACTAGATCGAGTCCTGATAGCACAAGTCTGTCTACTCAGGTTGGAAGACTGGCTCCCATTTCCAGTATAGACATACCCAAAGAGAGCATAGAGTGGACAAAGGAGACAAAGGGAGCGGTTAGTGGTTCTGACAGGGATCAGGAGAATGTGTAGGAAGAAGTGAGGTCAGAAACATAGGCAGGAGCAACGTTCTGAAAGTGAGCATGAATATTTCTTTTAATGTAAATACATCAAGCTTGTGGTTTTTGTTTTAAAATGCTTTTAATAGTTTTATTTGTGTCACAAAGATATTCTCTTTAGGCAGTTTGCATTGTAGAATATTAATTGTGCAGCTTGCTGAACTTCATAAATCTTACTATATTTACATTTTATTTGAAATCTAAATCCTTCAGCAAATAAAAATAGGCACCAACCTGTTCATAACTAATAGAATACTTTTCCATTTTTTGTTGTCTGAATGTCCCAGTTACCAAAACTTACTGTTTACTTATTGCAACTAGGTGAGTGAGGTAATATCTTTTATTGGACCAACTTCTGTTGGTGAGAGAGACAAACAGAAATTGGTCCAATAAAAGATATTCCCTCACCCACTTTGTCTCTCTAATATCCTGGGACTGACAAAGGTACAACTACCCTGTTTACTTAGTGGGCACATACTGTAGGCCCTATAGCAATTTCTTTGGATGGTATTGTCTTTCAGAAACATATTTGTTTTTAATACTTCCTGCACAGGGGTCTTAAAATGATGAAGCCCATTAATTCAGTTTCTGTCTAATGTGTTACTGCTTAATTCACTAGTAAGAAAATAACTTGCACATGTACAAAATAGAGTTTGAATGGTTGTGTTTTCTTGCAAACCGTTCCCCACACTTAGGGTGATCAGATGTCCCGATTTTTGGGTCTTTTTCTCACATAGGCACCTATTACCCCCCACCTCCTGTCCCAATTTTTGACACTTGCTATCTGACACGTGCTTGCTACCCACACTTGTGCTATTACCAGCCTCTAGAAACAAGAAATGTGGGAGCTATGAGTTCAATTCTTGCCTCTGCCACAGTCCTTTTGTGGGACTTTGGATCAATCACATAACTTCACCAGGCTTTGGTTTTCCTGTATGTAAAATGAGGAGGATTTTTGCTTACCAAATGGCTGTTGTGCAGTTTAATTTTTGTAAAGGAATGATAGGTGCTTTAGTCAAACTGCTTGGCACTTCTATATTCTGTCTGTCTCTTTGTCCATCCCCACACTTACTCCTTTTATATGTATCAGTGTGTTAACTTACTATGCACAACAGTTATAACTTAAAAAAAAAAAAGTAATATCACATCACATTTTGTGCATACAGAATGATTTTTTAATTTATTTTTCTAGAATACATTTAATGTCACCTGGCTCACTTTTTGTTTGAAGACTCTGTCAGAATTCCCTAAGAGTGATCAAGTAGCAGAATGTCTATGGATTCTTAGAGCTATTATTAGAGACATTTTGAAAGATAAAGATTTGCACAAAGCAGGTATTGTAAGATTTTTTTTTGATATTAATATACAAGTGTCCACTAGGGGGAGGAAGGCTACTTAGTATCCTTCAGAGAAATCAGCCTGTTTAAAATACTAATGGCAATGGGTTATTTACTTTGTCATAATAAAAAAAAAATATTAAAAATGAAAATACAGTGCCCCCAATACACATTGAATTTGAGAGAGTATCATGATCTCCTCCTTGCTGATGCTATTTCAGTGGTGAAAAGTTGTTTTAAATTATCTGGTTAATTGAATTGTACTTTAGGAACTCCACTTCAACTCTGCTTAACATTATTTTATTTATTATAGATATCCTGAAAAAGGTTTTCACTCCTCTTGATACTGTACTTGAAGGATTTTACAATTCCATTTTGTCTCATCGTTTTAACAGCTTCCAGGATACTTCACTATATTCTAAAGCTGCAAACAACTTGATCGAATTCATAGATTTTCTTGAAGTTCTTGTGGCCTCAAGAATCCAAATAGAGTCACATTTCAAATGCCAAAGAATTTTATTTTTGAATACTTCTTGCATCTTGGACCTCACTTATTCATCAGTTCATTATTTAATCAAGAAGAAGTCCATTATGCTCCTTAAAAAATGCATCCTTTATAAAGCTAGTGAAGATTTCATAAGTGGATCATTACCCACTTCATCCCTACAGGATCCTTATTTGGATAAGGATATGTTAGCGCTGGCTAATGTTGTTTTGCAAGCTGTGAATTTGGGGTGGCTGAATCAAATACCTGTTTCTGAAAAAGCCAGCTATTTTGGAGGCAGTGAAGCTCAACCTGAGGATGGCATCCGCAGTGGTCCTGACCAAGTAATCCTCAGAGCCTTAAGTTTGGTTTTACTTAAAGCATTAGAGATCAAGGTGCAGAACTCTACTACAGCAGCTGAAATAAAAGGTAATTTTCTGTTTAAATTCATTAAGTAGCATGCATTCTAAAGCTTATAGTTGATTTAGGCAATTTAAAATTGTTGGCTGAGCTTGCAAAGTCTTATACACAACAGCATTTCTCTGTATGTGTGTAACACAATTATTTCTGAATGCCACATCCGACCAATTCGATTTTCAGGGAATTTCTGGCCACTAATTCCTAGAACCCTATTGATTTTGTGGACAATCAGAACATTGATTGAGGGAACATAGGAACACATGGAGCTACTGTCATCTATTAATACTTTGCAGCATAACAGTACCCCTACTCATCCTTCCAGTAGAGTGTAATGTGTTGACACCCTGAATAACAGAAGAGAAATAATTGCTCTTCCTGCTGGGATCCCTGGGGTGAATTGTCAGCCATGGGGGCAGGCAGAGGGAGAGAAAAGAATCCCTTTCTTCCTTCTTAACATCCGGCCTCCTCAATGCCTGCTTCAGGTGGGGGAGAGAGGAACCAGCTATCTGCCCCTTCCCTTACAGTTGGGGGGAAGAAAGGTACTTTGAGAGGGAGAGAGACCTAGCTGCTGGCATGATGCAGAGATTGGGGCCCCATGTACGGTGGGAGCGGGGCATGAGTGGGGAACAGAAACCCTGGCCTGGTGGGCCGAATGGGGGACTCGGAGAAGGGAGCGCACACAGCCTTTGCCATTGGGGTGGGGGAGTAGGAAGGAGCGACACACAGAGCCTCTGCTATTTGTGGTGGGGAAGTGGGAATGGGAGTGCACATAGAGCCACTGGCATAGTGAAGAAAATGAGGGACCCTGGTATGAGAGGAGAAGGGAATGGGGTGCACACAGAACCACTGCGGAAAGAATATTCAAGTGGGAGTTGCAAGGAGTCCCTGAAATAGAGGGGCATGGGATGGTGGCACCCAGGAAGATTGTGAGGGGAATGAAGGGATCCAGTGAGCCCCAGAGATGTACAATGAGCTCGGCCTCCAGAAGGTACGAAGGATGCAACCAGCTAGATTAAAACACTATTAAAATATTAAGAGTAATGACTTCACTTAATTTTAATGATTTAGTTGGGATTAGGTCCTGCTTTGAGCAGGGGGTTGGACTAGATGACCTCCTGAGGTCCCTTCCAACCCTGATATTCTATGATTCTATAAGCGAACTGAATGTTAGGAGCACAATTTAGGCACAGGTGGTTGGGTGATAATATGGGTTTGGGGTTTTGTTTGTTTGCTATATTATAGTCTTAAAATTGCGTAATTTGAACTAAATTAACCCTTGGTGGTAGTTATCAGATATTCTAGTTCTGCGGGGGGAATAGAATGATCCCTGATTTCAGTCTGAAAAGTACCTGAGCATGTATGATGATTGAATGTTCGTATTCTTTTGCTGAGAAGCAAGGCAAGCCTTTAAAAATCTAATTTTAGGGTGAGCTACATTGTACTTTTTTACAACAAAGGTGATTCCCATGTTGTAACAAATCTTTCTACAGCATTAGCTTCTATTCAGACAAATGGCAAGGCTATATCATTCAATCCATAGAGCTTTTCCAATACGATCTAAGAAATGCTTTCTGATAATCTAAGATGCCATTGTTTTTTTAAAATGCTGAGCACTTGTTGTTTGGAAAATTGGGCCCAAATTTGGATTTGAGGAATCTTTTTACTATGCACTGGAATATTGCAGAGGTAAATCTCTCATATAAGGAAGGGTGTTTATATGGTACACACAGGGTTGTTTTTCAAGAGCTGGCCACAGCAATAAAATGGCATGGTAGTCTTGGGAGAATCTCTTTCCTCTTGTATCCTCAGGCCATATGTGGCAATGCAGGTGCTGCTGACATGCAGTGTACAGGTAGTATTTAAAATTAGGGGGTGTTGCAATCAGAATGAAGACTTGCAGGAAAATTTTATATTCTTACTAATAATAAAAAGAATGAGGAGTACTTGTGGCACCCTAGAGACTAACAAATTTATTTGAGCATAAGCTTTCGTTTCTAGGTCACCACAGAACTGTACCATGTTCGTGGGGGTGAAGGGGCAGAAGGAGAGGTCTCGAGATAGGACAGATCCTTCTACTGGGCTAGGAGTATAACTGGGCCTCTCCTTCTGCCCTTCCATCCCCACAAACATGGTACAGTTCTGTGGTGACCTAGAAAATGGACATCTTCCTGAATAATGTAATTTTCTGGCAAGGTTTGGTTTGTATCTCTCAGCATTTATGTTCAGTCACAGCAGTCTCCCAAGATACATATGAGAACCTATCTAATCTTCGAAGGTTTTTTTGTCAGAGTAGATTTTGCTATGTTTATATTACCAGTTTCATACATTTATATTTCCTGGAAAAGTTTAGGCCCTGATTCTGCAATTCGTTGACGCTAAAAAAACTGGACCATAAAGATCTTAGTCTTAACACTGCACCAGATTATTCCTTTGCATGGGAGGGACCAAGTGGGATAAATTACAGCAAGGTGGCCTTATCAGATCATTCTATCTGTGGCATGAGGTGGATTATATCTCACCCTTCTCTGTACATTTGCGTTTGCTGGAGGCCAGGGCCAATGGAGACATGCAGTCAGAGAGCCAAAGGAGAGTCAGAGACCCCAAGGCAAGTGTGGGAACATAGGGTTTCTATGTAGACGGCCTTGGATTTTTTTACAGCTCTCCTGACACCAGCAGGTTATGGAGATGTAATCTCCTTGTTTATTCTGCAGTAAGCCTGGGAGAGAGAGAGGGCTGACCCCATCCCACCCCACAACCATAAAGGTTCCCCCCATCTCTTATATGTGGTCTTTCTGTGGGAGGAAGTGACAAGAGCCTAAGAATCCCATTCTTCAAATAATATACTTGCATATGTCCTTAAATTGCGTCAATGCTAACTCTTCTGGAAGTTGTCCTCCACTTGAGCAGTGAAATCTGTGTTTTTCATTAGACTTATAAAAGTAAATATTGTAAGAGTTTTTACATATACAATGTTTGTGCAAAAAGTAACTATGTTGGATTTGAGGTGAAATGATATTGCTGATGGCTCTTTGCTTTGATTGCTTTGATTTTTGACTCCATAAATGGTATCATTCTGCAAGGCATTTGTCAATGCAGTGGTAATTCAGTTGAGCCTAAGGGATGTGTGATTGGACAACTGGGTTCCATGCTGTCCACTGTTTTTTTTTTTTTTTTTAAGGAAATGTGGGTTTGGCTTTTTAATATGAAAAAATGAAAGCAAAATTTCACAGTTATGCTCTCTATTTTTAGCAGACTTGCAGAGTTTCATGTCCTGGTTATTGATATTCTTGAAGAAACATCTGAAGTCTTCTCCACATTTTCATTCAAATGTACATCCTTGTGAGTGGCTTTCCATGGTCTTTATAGAACAAGATGATGACATGCTGGAAGCTGCTAAATCTTTGTTAACAGTTTATTTAAAGTTTGATAGGTTGGTATATATATTAATTTCTTTGTTAGATATTTGAAGACAAATTAAGCTTTTATTTAGTGAGATCATACAGTTCACAATAGCAGTATTTTTATATGACCATTACATAAAGTAATAACACAAGAAAATACATTTTTAACAATCTTTAATGGATTTATTGAACTACTTTGTAGGAACTGATATGATTCCCATTGACATCAACAGTACACCTCTACCCCGATATAACGCGGCCCGATATAACATGAATTCGGATATAACACGGTAAAGCAGCACTCCGGGGGGGTGGGGCTGCACACTCTAGCGGATCAAAGCAAGTTCGATATAATGCGGTTTCACCTATAACGCGGTAAGATTTTTTTTGGCTCCTGAGGACAGTGTTATATCGGGGTAGAGGTGTAGTTGGAAATCACTGAGAGTCTTACATTGATGTGAATACATTTTGGATCAGACTGTAAGTGGTGTTTATAGTAGTCTTTCTATTACGAGTTCAATCCTACCCTCTAATTCACAGTAGCTGACTTCACAGAATTTGAGTGATGGTCAGATGCTGACTGAAAGGCAAGACTTGAGTGTTTTTTGTGAACACTCAACTTTTTGGAGAAGGATTTCATGTTATGATTAAACTTTAAGAATGAATGGAAGTTGAATCTGAGGATTGCTGAAGTGAACTGTAATCACACCTTACAGTAATGGTTTCTTAGGCAGGATCCCCATAACTTGCTGAGAAGTGGCAATACTGATATCTAAAATGTGTTGAGTTCTTGTGCATTATGAATTTATCATGCAATCCCTTTTGTTTCAATTTCATTCAATTTCGTGTACAGGGGAGGGGAGATGCAGCCCAACTTTATGAAAAGAAACTTGGCTGGGTGAATCACTTTGTAATTTCAGATTTGTTTGATTGCATTATTGCTAGTAGTGTCTGTTGTTAAATGTTAAGGCACCCAGGTTTGAAAATGCTGGCCTTAAAGTTAGACACCTAAATCTATACTTAGGAACCTAAATAACTTTTTCCAAGATGTATAGCATCTTGTGAATGAAGTAACCTTTATTAATTGTTTGTATTTTTTAAAAAAATGTGAAAAGGATATCTACTCACATATTCGAGGCACCTTTGACGTAACTTATAAATACATATTAAATGGAGTAGTACGGTTTAAGATACCTGAAATACTGATGGTCAGTTATCTTAATGTCCTGGAGGTCATCAAATTAAGGATATTTCAAACCAAGAAGGGGAGCAAATTCCAAAGCTGTGGAGCCCTCACAGAGAACACCATGCTAGCAGTCCCCTCTTGTTTTTATACCAACAGGGGCTCCAGCTCAAACACCGCTGCTAAACCCAGGGTTGTGAGTTCAATCCTTGAGGGGGCCACTTTAGGGATCTGGGGCAAAATTGGTCCTGCTAGTGAAGGCAGGGGGCTGGACTCGATGACCTTTCGGGGTCCCTTCCAGCTCTATGAGATAGGAATATCTCCATATATTGTTATATTATAATTTTGCTGAGTTCAATATATAAATTGGAAAACCTTGCCTTTAATATTAAACTATAGTAGGATCTGGTGTGTATCCTGCTGATCTCTCATACATTGCTTCTACCTCTGTAGTTAAAATTACTAAAAATGTTAAGCAAGAATGTTTATGGAAAATTATTCAGTATTTAAATAGCTGTTCTATTGCATTCCGTTTAATGTGTGTTTTGGTAACTTTTCAGGTTATGGCATGATGCTGCTGATAACTTGTGCCTTGCAGCAGAAGACGACGAAACCTGGATCTGCCTGACACATGAGTGTGGCTGTAATCCTCACTGTATCTTTTTATTTTTCCTAAAAAATATTGCGTTTGATTCCACAGTTCTTCTTGACTTTTTGATTTCATCAGAAACCTGCTTCCTTGAGTATTTTGTAAGATATTTAAAACTTCTTAGAGAAGACTGGCATCATTTTGTCAACATCTCTAACTGCTTTGATATTGCATCTAAAAGAGGTGTATGTGTTTCTTTTGTCACCTCATCCCACCAAGAAAAAAAAACCTGTCTGACAGATTTAAGTTTGGAAAATGCTTGTTGTGATCCAGTACAACACACTCTGGTATCTTTGGCTTCTTCCCAGAAGCCTTCTGTACCCATGGAACAGCAAGGTGATGACCAAGTTGTAAAACCCAACAAGTCTAACTCATTGATATGGACTGATAACACATCTGCACTGGATTGCCTTCAAAGCCTTGTTAATTATGACAGTTCAGAAGATTCTGAATTGGAATCAGTGGGAAAGGAGTGTTTGGCAAACATGAAGCAGATGCCTTCAAACAATCAAGGCAGTACAAAGATAAGGGAAACTGTTTGTATGGATGTACATGACAAACCCCATACACTTGAACCTAAAGTGTTGCCCCTGAAACAAAAAAGTTCTAATCCCTTGTCACTCGGGGTATGTAATATGTTTCCAAATAACCCTGTGCCTGTAGAAAGAATGCTTTTCAAATCAGTGAAATGTCTGGAAGAACTGCAAAAAGCAATTTCTAGGTTACAGAGAAGAAACCTTTTCCCATACAACCCAGCTGCATTGTTGAAACTGTTGAGTCACATTGAGACAACCAATAAAAGCATGAGTCTACTATAAGACAATGAAGTGCTATTGTTGACATTTTGAAGTGATTTCACACTAGTATGTGATGGAATGTTTCCACAAGAAGAGTGTACATGCTCAAAGATACATTCCTTCTGGACCTATCAGCGTGTTTAGACCAAGCAGGCTCAACTGGCTGCCAACTGACACTTTGATAAGACAAATCTGCAGCGGTGTTTAAGTACTCAACCTGTTGTCTCATGGTCCCAAACTTATTTATGGTATGTATGACAGAGTGAGGGTGAGTTACTGGGTATTAGCAAATTTAACAATAAATTGATTATTGACAGAAAGACATAATAAAGTACTTCCACTTGAAGTGTAAGGTGTAATTCTTCCTAATGTCATTCTAATATCGTAAGAGCCAACTAGATTGTTAGTGCATTACTGATCCTGATGCAATGGTAATTCCAGGCTCAAGTACTTAGCACAGCTATGTAAGCTCTTTGGGGCAAGGTTCGTCTGTTCTGTGTTTGTAATGCCACAGGGCCTAGGAGCCTTAGTCACGGACCAGGACCCCGTTGTGCTAGGTGATGTACAAACAAAAAATTATATCCCATTCCTCCACTTCTGTGATTTTAATGCTAAGTTCTATTTATTGTTTCGCTTTTTGGCCTTTTCTGTAGGTCTGATCAGTTAGTAGCATAGCACTTTTATCGGTCCAAATTGGAATTGATGATGTCACTAAAAATTGAGTTTAAAATTAATGCCTAAAACATAATCAGGTTCATTCCTTTAAAAAAAAAATAAGTTGAACTAGTATATAAATTCCCAATTTAAATGAAAATTTGTTAATGCAGCATTAAATTTAAAATCAAAATTGTGCAATGCACAAGTAAAATTTCAATGGCAATGCTTACGGAGGTGCATTAACACCCTATATATTATGATATAAAATGCATAGCACCGTAGCATATTAAAATACACAATTATAAAAAATGGATAACTGGCTTGCATTGCAAATATGCAATGTAAACATTATTAGAACATATTTTCTGCATTTACTCACTACCTGTGTTTAACTGACTAATCTCACTGTTGCTAATGGCTGTGTTAATGCATTTAAATTGCTTAATGTTATGCATAATGTTATAATTCTATATATATTTTAAATACTGCCAATTGAGCAATATCTTTCACATATTAATGAAGTAAGAAGGGTGGGTGGATAAATTTCCTGTTTGGCAGGTGCCAATTTTCTATCAGTTTACTCTACCTAGCTACAATGACTACCTTCACAACTTTAAAAGATTTTTTTTTTTTTTAAATGGAAGCTTAGAATTTTCAGGATATTGTAGAATGCAGCAAAATTGGAGAGACCCTACATTTTGGGATTTTTTTTTAAAGATTGTGTTACTTGTATATAAAAATAATACATTGCTAAATTGTGTAGAAATGAGAATTTTTTTTACCTCTGCTGCAATAAAAATGGCTGCAGACGGTTTGTTCAAACTTTCCAGACCAGATTTCACCTTTTGAGGCTGAAATTTTCCATGCTTGGCCTTTGCCCGACGTCAAATCTTGCACATAGTTAGGAATGGGTGAAAATGGGAGTGATAGGGGCCCCGCCAGGGGCTTTCCCTGCACAAGCAGCGCCCCTAGTTTGGGAACCACTGCTCTATAAGCAATATCGTAAGTGCCATGGTATCCTGGGGAGGATCTGGATGTAAGAATTAATAAAATGTGCTGTAAGGAGGCAAGTAGTTACTATTAAAAGCTGTTACAGTGTATGCATCTCTTTAAGAATAGGTATTTAATTTCTAGAACTCTACTGGAAATCTATCTAAATCCAGGACACTTGTGGTTCTTCGTGGACTCTATTTCCTCCAATATTTCTACTTTTCCACAATTTAGTTTTTTGTTCTCCCATTATGGGTTGGAGACTTAATAAATCAAACTTCTTGAATTCTTTTACAGTAGAACAATTTTCTTGGCAAATTTGTGAATAAAAAGCCTGACATGGTGTTGTCTTTTATTTGTGACTCCAGTAATGTTAGGGGAGTGCAAATGATATTTATATTTCTTCCAAAGTAGAACAACAACTTATTCCATTCTGACTTCAGATAGGATCTGGTATTGAGGATTTAGCAGAGCTAGCCAGCATCACACCAAGAACTCTGAATGTACCATTAACTGCAATGCTATTGCTGCTTCTTTTCTATATGTTTACCAGACCACCCCAGTGTGTGCTGAAGTCTCCCTGAAAACAGAGTATATGCTTGTCTTGTAATAGGATAACAGGCAATCTCCGGTGCTCACCTGGTTACTGATAAGCCAGGAACAATCTACACTTGGTTATGGATGTTCAAATTCATTTGAGCTAAAGTATAGTCCCTGTAATACATAACTCTGGTAGATGAGCTATATTCCCAAGGCACTTACTCTCTCTCCTGTTACAGTGTCTTTTAAATGTGGAAATGAGGATAGTTGTGATTGCTCTGAGGACCTTCAAAGATCTGGTGGTATCCTAAAAGGAAGTCCTAATTCAAATGGATAATCCAGACTCCCAAGTTCTACATCAAACAAGGAAGGAAGGAACAGAATTGCACCTTGTATGTGGCAGAAAGCCTTTGTGTAGAATTAGTGTCCTGCAAGGCAGCACTGGTTAGTACTTTCCTGAAAGGTAAAGAAAACAAAAGCTATGCCAGTCAATGGTACACCCACACGAGTAGTCCCTCAATGAGAGTTTAGTTGAAGCAGAGCTTACAACTGCGGGACGTGGAATATCTGAATAACTGATTGTTTTTGCACTGTTGAATAATGCCTTCACACTGCTAAGAGGGGAAGCTGACGTATTTTTTCTGAGACTGATTTGTAGACCTTTACTCCCCATGGAGAAAAGATAAAGGTTCCTCGGTCCTAATTGTCTCCTATTGTCTGAGACAAAATTTTGTCTTGATCATGTTAGGAACTGTAGTAGCTGATCCAAACAGGCTAAGAGTCTGACCACGTAGGATTATGTGAAGCAACTACTGCCCTGCATCTTAACCTGGGACCTCTGTCTATATAACTCCAAGGAAGGTAGAGAATGAGAGGCTTGACATTTTCAAGCAGGTGGCTCTCATCCTTCTAGCTTCTCCAAAGGATGGATACAAAGAAACAGGCAGCTTAGTGAAAGCCAACATGGCAAGAAAACCTTGAATTCAAACATAGGACATATGCAGATTTTAAGTGGGAAAGCGTTGCAGTCTAGTGCCAAGAACCCACACGGCTATTCCTATGTTCCCAGCACCAAACTGCTTGACTTCCTTCACCTGTCAACCTGTCTTAAACATCTTCCCTTGGAGTTCATATGGCAGCTGTTTTGGACTTTCATGGTTTATGATGAAGGTATTACTCCATCTTTCTGTTATCCAGGTCATTTAGGTCTTGATGCAATTAACCTCTTCCCCACAAACAGGGAATTGCTTATAGCAGAGGATACTAGTCCTAATAAAGGTGATGAAAGTTTTTTGGAGCCTTTGGTACATGAGATAAGTTTATTATATGGAATGTCTTTTTCCTGATATCAGTGACTTCCATTCCCAGAATAAGCAGTCTTCATGTTGTACTGATTGACCTCCATTATATACCAAATTCCTCAGGGAGATGGCAGTACTATGAAACAACCTAAATTCCTTCAAGAGGGGGTGATAATGTTTTGCTTTAATCAGTTATTCGTCCTCTGAATGTTTACATCATGCATGCATGCATGTGTATCCCCAGAACGCCCTCCAATGTGATGTGAAAAGGGCCTTTTGCACACCAGCTGAAATGAAAATTAAAGCCCACCCACATCTTTGATCTATTTGATACTCATTCAGTTTTGCTGTCTTGAAGAAAACTGTTTCTAAATGATTATCTGATTGTGACCCTAATTATTATTAATTATTATTAGCCTAGTGTACTTTGCAGCTAGAATAATGTTAAAGACCATTCTGTGTAAGCGCAGAGTTGGCTATGGCAGTAAGCCATAACAGTTGGACAAAATATTGCATTCAGCCTTTTGCGAAAAGAACATAGAATTTGGTACACAGGAACAAAACAGTGCTCCATCTAGATTAGTAATTCATATTGGCCTCTTCAGTGGAGGGTAAAAATATCCAGCACTGTAGTACAGCTGATTTTTGTTAATACTATATCAAGAGATGAATGGCGTGTGGGAGACTTAATGCTGGCTGTGAAGCATTCAAGTTTGATGCCACTTGTCACAAACATTTATTAAAATTGCAAGGTGTAAAACTGTTCCAGCATGTAAGTGGTTCCTGCTTTAGTACAGTATATGGCTGGTCTGAATGGGGTTTGTTTGTTTGTTTGTTTGTTTGTTTGTATTATATATATATATATATATATATATATATATATAGAAAGAAAGAAAGAAAGGTGAAGGAAACTACTATAGGAAAGGATATGTGCTCTCTCCTGCCAGTTAACTGAAATTGAAGAGGCTGTGGGTGGTTCAGAGGCCAACTAAAATGATTAGGGGGTTTGGAACGGGTCCCATATGAGGAGAGACTAAAGAGGCTAGGACTTTTCAGCTTGGGGAAAAAAGGAGACTAAGGGGGGATATGATAGAGGTGTATAAAATCATGAGGGATGTGGAGAAAGTAGATAAGGAAAAGTTATTTACTTATTCCCATAATACAAGAACTAGGGGTCACCAAATGAAATTAATAGGCCGCAGGTTTAAAACAAATAAAAGGAAGTTCTTCTTCACACAGCGCACAGTCAACTTGTGGAACTCCTTACCTGAGGAGGTTGTGAAGGCTAGGACTATAACAGCGTTTAAAAGAGAACTGGATAAATTCATGGTGGTTAACTCCATTAATGGCTATTAGCCAGGATGGTAAGGAATGGTGTCCCTAGCCTCTGTCAGAGGGTGGAGATGGATGGCAGGAGAGAGATCACTTGATCATTACCTGTTGGGTTCACTCCCTCTGGGGCACCTGGCATTGGCCACTGTCGGTAGACAGGATACTGGGCTAGATGGACCTTTGGTCTGACCCAGTACAGCTGTTCTTATGTTCTTACGTTATTACCCAGGAGCTGGAATTAATTTTTCTGGTTTTGAGACTTGTTTTGTGGAAATAAAGCAAGCCTTGAGGAAAGAGATGTGAAATGGCTTGTAGATGGGACTTCTATTTTTTCCTTTCTAGATGGTCAGTCTGTGCACTGGCTTAAACTATTTAGTGTAACTACATTATTCTTTAGATGAGTAGCTAATCCTTTGTTTAAATAAAGTACCTCTGCCTGCTTCACTAATAACCTGTGGCAGTGCATAAAGTGGGTCTTTTTAATCTGCAGTACATGGAAACAAGTTTTTTTCTTTTATGTACACCT